AAACCCACCACCAACACCATCACTCAACGGCCTTGTAGTTCAGGCCGTGAACCTAACAGCCGAGACTAGTTCCTCTCTCGGCTACAATCGTTTGATTAGAAGACGAGTTCAAACAGGCGTACCATTTATCCATCCTACACTCAACAACATCAGATTTTATTTCACAACTTTCCACAACGGTTTTTGTTTCAACCGTTGTAATTGAAGCTGTAAAAAAAAAAACAGGGAGTGAACAGTGACTCAATATTTTTTCTTAAGGCCCGATAGTTGTCATTCTCTCTTCTATCTCGTCTCTGGCGTCTCCCTCTCTCCACAGTCTTGTTCTTCCCACCTCGTCTCCTTGCCTTCGCCACGGCCATAGACAGAGAGACTCTGTCTCTCGCGTCTCCCTCTCTCTCTCTCTCTCTCTCTCTCTCTCTCTCTCTCTCTCCTCCCTCCTTCTTGTTCAGAGGGATTTGGGTTTTAATTTTAGGGTTACTAAATTGGGTTTTATTCTAAACATTTGGGTGTTGGCTTGCGGTCGCCCTACCTTGATCAACAAAGGTAAAGAAAAAATAAAAATTTAGGGTTTCAATTTATTTCGAAATTGTTGTGATTTGGGTGTTAACAATCTCTCTTTGTTTACTCTGCAGGTGCTTAGCTTTTCCATCTCTCTTGCCCCCTACGGCTGTTGCACTCACTCTGAAGCTTTGATAGGTAAGAACTCTGGTTTCTCAGTCCCTTTCTCAGTCCCCTTTCTCAGTCTCAAGCCTCTTTCTCAGTCCCCTTTCTTTCATAAGAACTCTGTGGTTCGCGAATTTGAGTGGTTGTTCAAGAGCTACCACCTTCTCAATAAACGCAAAAGATTAAAAAGAAAAAAAAACATAAAAACTAAATCAATAATAAAGCGGGAAGGTCTCTCAGGTCAAGGTACTCTCTACCATCTCTCTACTACTTGCACATAAGAAATGAAATTTGGGTTTTCTTTGTTGTGTGTGTGAATTTGTTAGGTTGAGGTCAGGTTCATCTAGGGTTTGGTTTGTTTGTTTGTGTGCTTGTGAAGGTGATGGCGTCGAAACGGATCCTGAAGGAGCTGAAGGACCTCCAGAAAGATTCTCCTACTTCATGCAGCACTGGTATTTTCCATTTCCAAACCCGATCCGTTTCCTCTTCTTTTTCATTTTGATTCTGCTAAAGTTTTAATTTTGTGCTTTTGGGTAAGAATTGATGTAGGAGTTTGTTGATTGCCTCATCGTCGGAGATTTTGGCTCATGTGTACCATCTGATTTGAGCTTCCATCTATGCTTATTTTTAGAAATTTGCTATTTTTTATTTACCCAGACCAGGAAATTTGTGCAAAGCTGCAGTCTTGCACCGATTTGGTGGTCATATGAATTTTATATTATTGTTCTCATGCCAAATTTGTTGATCTCCGCAGATCTCACAGCCTGGTGCTCTGGGCCGAGGGGATTCGCGTCGACACGGGTCGTCCTTCTTTGGTGTGGTGCAGTTATACGCGGGCATGCCAGCACGGTCTATCGTGCATTCGAGGATGAAATGAGTGGATGGATGGATGAGTTGCGCGCCTATTTTGAGTCTAACTTCTAATCAAAGCGACTGTGGCCGAGAGAGGAACTTATCTCGGCCGTCAGGTTCACGGCCTGAGCTACAAGGCCATTAATGATGGTGTTAATGGTGGATTTGTAGGTGGTGCTCCGGCGCGTTACTAGACTGCAACGGTTGTGTGATATGTGAGATGAACGGAAAAGTAACAAGGATGGTGCTCCGGTGCCTTGAGGAATCAAGGGTCGTATGATATATTGATGAACGGACTTTCCTACAATCTGCCACTACTCCTAGGAATGCAAGTAAAGGTATTGAAAGTGCATTACAAGAAGATAAATGACAGAAAAACAGGAAGAATATAACTTGCTCCATCGAAGGCTTGTGTTTGGTGTTGAACCTCTTTAAATATAATTGGAGCTTGGTATTTATAGAAGAAGCTCTGGGAGGAAGGCGAAGCTAATATCTGCATGACGTGGTCGATTAGAGATAGTGGGTAGCCTAGACAACATTTGGGAATGTGAAGTATGGTGGTGTGACCCCCATAAATCTCAGTCGCCGCCTTGATTGGAGACACTTGCGTCGGCATTCCTTGTTCGGCCAGAGCCGGGAAGGTGCGCCTCTCAATTTTTATCATGCGGTTATGGTCGCCATCAGGAATGTTCACGCTTGACGCCACTTGGGCCATCTCATTGGCCTCATAGTTTTCGGCACGCGGCACATGGACAAAGGAAATTCTAGAAAACTCGTCAGCCGCGTTGCAGGCCATAACATAATATGTAGTCAAATTCTCCCTCATGCATTGATATTCCCCAGTCAACTAGTTGATAACCAATTGAGAATCACCGTAGACTAAAACTCGAGCGGCCTTCATTTCCTTCAATATCTCGAGGCCGATGATGAGTGCCTCATACTCGGCCTAATTATTGGTGCATTTGAAATCAAGCTGAAAAGCAAATTGCCACATTTGCCCTTGAGGGGACTCAACCACGACTCCGGCTCCAGATATGGTCTCAGTGCTTAGCCGTCGAAGTACATGGTCCAGTAGTTCTTTTCCATGTGGACGATGCCAATCTCGACTTCTATCTCCTCCTCCCCTCCTTGAGTTGGGTGATGAGCCAAGAAATCGGCCAGAGCCTAACCCTTGAACGACTTTTGAGCCACATATTGGGAAGTGAATTCTGACAATGCCATCGTCCATTTCCCAATTCGGCCGCAAATGATCGGCCTAGTGAGCATGTATTTGATGAGATCGGTCTTGGAGATGATCTGAACGACCGAAGGAAGCATGTAATGATGCAATTTGATAGCCACAAAATAGAGCGCTAGGCACAACTCGTCGGCCGTGTTGAGGGTGCGGCTAAGATAGTGCACAGCTTGATCACAGTTGCACTCGTTGTTTTGCGCAAGTAGGCAACCGATAGAGCCCTCGGAGGCCGAAATGTATAGCCTCAAGGGTTTCCCTCTCCTTGGTGGCATAAGGACCGGTGGTTGGGATAAGTATCTTTTGACTTCGTTGAAGGCCGTCTGATGCTCGGCCTCCCAAACGAATTGATCCACGTCTTTTAATTTGAGCAGGGGAGCCAATGGCCGGATTTTACCTGCCAAGTTGGATATGAACCCCCTCAAAAAATTGACCTTGCCAAGGAAGGACTGGAGCTCCTTCTTGGTTCTTGGTGGAGGCACCGCCATGATGGCCTTAGCTTTATTATTATCTATCTCTATTCCTCGTTGATGGACCAAGAAACCAAGGAAGTTCCCTGCCGTGAAACCGAAGGCACACTTCTTAGGGTTCATCTTCAAGCCGTGAGCTCTCATTTGGTCGAACGCCTGACGAAGGAGTCCTATATGGTCAGCCTTGGAAGGGGATTTGACAACCACATCGTTGATGTAGACCTCAATGGTTCAGTCGATAAGGTTATGGAAGATAAGGTTCATAGCCCGTTGGTATGTTGCGCCGGCGTTCTTTAGGCCGAACGGCATGACCACCCACTCGTAGGTGCCGATAGCTCCCGGACATTTGAACGCCGTCTTGTGGACGTCACACTTGGCGATGAAGATTTGGTTTTAACCAGCATGGCCGTCTATAAAGGAAAGGACCTCGTGCTTTGCGGCCCCGCAACCAAAAGATCTGCCATGGGCATGGGGTACTCGTCTTTGGGGGTCACAAGGTTGTAATCGGTGCAAACCCTCAAAGCTCCAGTCTTTTTCAAAACTGGTACAATGTTAGCCAGCCATTGAACATACCGAGCCGTACGGATAAAGCCGGCTTTAAGGAGCCATTCAATTTCTTCCTTGACTTTTAGTTGTACGTCGGTCGAGAATCACCTTGGTGGTTGTTGGAAAGATCTAAACCCCTCCTTAATTTTCAGCTCGTGCTCGACCAAATCCCTTGGCAACCCAGGCATCTCATGATAATCCTAAGCAAAACAGTCTTTATATTCATGGAGTAGGCTGACAATCTCGGCCTTTAACTCTGAACTTAAAAGTTGGCTTACAAAAAGAGGCCGTGGTTCGGCCTCTGTGCCTACATTTATTTCTAACAAGGGGTCCTGGACCTCAGGGTAATCGTCTTCCATTTCAATGGGCGCCATCTCTAAGTCATTGATGGTCAAAACGTCTACGTCATGTGAATCGTGTAAGAACTCGATTAGGTTGATTGGTGAGTTTGGCCGTAAAGATTCTCCCGCCCAGTGCTCTAGTAGTCTTTCCAGCAAGTCGGTCACGATCGCTGCCCCTTCTTCTTTGGTTGCTTTGTCTGACATTTAATAAAGGCTAGTAAGGTCGATCAAAACTTCGCGTGCCGAGTCCTATCGGACATTTTCGTCACCTAACTCCAAGACTTTCTGGGCCGTCGTCCTGGTTGGTCAGTCACTTGCATCGTGGTCGGTGAGGACGACCCATCCGACGTTGTCGTCGTAAATCCAAGCTTGTACGGCATTGGCCTTGAACGGCCTTTCGTCAGCCGGATGTGTGGATACTTTATGGCCATCCCAGAAGAACAACAATTGGAAAAGGGAGGATGGTATGCACCCAGACTGATGAATCCAATCACGGCCAAGCAGTATATTGTAGTCTACACTGGATTTGACTACATAGAAGGCCGCAACTCTTGTCTGATCAGCCACTGTGATTCTCAACAGCAATTCTCCAATGGTTTTAGATTTATCGCCGACAAAGCTGCTCATGACCACATCGCTAGGGATGAGGTCCTCCTTCGATTTATCCAGCTTCCTCATCAAGGAATAGGGGAGAATAATGACCATTGCACCACATTCAACGAAGACTTTAGACACGGGTACCCCCTCTACATGAACCGAGATATATAATGGCTTCAGGTGCCGGTATTTGTTTGACTCACCCTGGGTATGACCTCGTTAAAGGCCACGACCAGTAACTCCTCTTTCGTCTCTGATCGAGCTGCTCTTCAAACACGTCATTGTTAAGGCCGCTGCTCTGACCACCTAGGGCTGAAAAGTCGGTAGGTAAAACCAAAACATGTTTATGTTCATTTCACTCAGTCCACGCAGGTTTCCTTTGCTAGCTTCTCCTTCAGCCATGTAGTCACCCTTGGCTAAACCCCTCTCTTCGACCACCCCGAAAATCCTTCCGCATTCTTCATCTGACAATCCCATCGTGGGTCTCTTCGACCACCCCAAAAATCCTTCTGCATTCTTCATCCGACAATCCCATCGTGGGTTCGTCTTCGGCCTCATTCTCAAGGAAGGGCTCACTATAGCCGTTGATTATAGGTTCCGTGGGCTCATTAACCTCATTTGCGGAAGCTTTGATTGTAGAGGTGCTCATAACCTTGGACTTTCCTTCAAGGACCCGTTTGGCCTTGGCCACCGCATCTCTAGCCGTGAGGTATTCATCTAATCGGCTGACCCGGACCTTCTCCTCAACCATCAAACCAAAGACGGCGTCAGCTGGGGTTACGATAAAGTACCGTCGAAGGTAATCCAAATCGTCTTTGTTGAAAGGGGCCTTGGTCTCCAATCTCTTCAGGTCAGGTTGGTAGGCTACCATCCCTTTTGCCCTAGCCTCACGGTGTGCTTGATACACGGCTTTCATGGCCGAGTCGAAACTCTTGGTAATGAGGAGTCCTTCCGCTTTGGCGTTCTTAAGGGCCAGCTCTACAATTTCCTGGTTCTCAGGCACCGTGCCGTATAGGTCAGTGGCAGAGTGATCCTTGTGGAACTCCAGGAGGAAGGATAAATCGTTGGTTGAAAACAGGGATCCCTTCCGCGATAAACATCGATGATACCCTCATTAGACTTTTCTGGGGTCACAGCCTCTGGATCTTTGGGAGTCATCGTTGCTTTGCGGGAGTCTTCGTCTTGCCGAGGACGCCACACCCTTGGGCCCTTAGTGTCAAGCTCTTTGGTTGCGGAGGTGTTGGCTGGAACAGACGGCCGTATGTCTGCAGCCATCATTTTCTTCTGTTGTTTAGAGCCTTCGACCTAGGTCGACTGCGCCCTGGCCCGCTGGGCTTGCCTCTGCATACTCCTCAATTGGGTCTTCGTCTACGGCTCGGCCCTACCCCCAGGCCGGTTGTGGTACCAGCGATCATCTTGCACCGACGAATGTTTGAAAGTTTTGATCTGCCTTGGG